CATTCTCACATCTGAGATATTTTGCCTCTATGTACGGCAGCACGCCATGCTGGGCGTAGAAATGATACATCCTTTTCTGGTAGGCGCCGAGCATGCTCAGGTCGTTCCCATGTTCCAACATTACATAGGTCCTCGGCCAGTCTATAATGTGCCTTTGGCTTGTCTGTGCTGAGTTGGGATTGTTGCCATGCAGTGTATGCTAAAACCATACCCCCCCTTGGGCAATGCCGTTCTTTTCAAAGGTGCCGACAATAATGTAGTATGTATACAGTATACCATGGCGGGAGAAGCACGAGCTTCTTTCGTACTGCCAGTCCACCCATGACATCGGACGAACCTAATGCCGGGTGAGACTAGGTTCATGTGAGGTCTCCTTCACTTTCGTAGACCTGTCCTGCTATTGCTTCCTCTCCTCCTGACTATGTTTTCCTGAGTGAGACAGGTACAGTACAGCATCACCAGGACATCTTCAGTTCCAATCAATGGTTTTCTCGCCTGCCAATGACTGGCAAGGACCTTCACTTAGTGCAGATGATTAGAGGCGATGTATCTTGTCATCGTGCTGCCAGCCACGGTCTACTTTCGTGCACGATCGGCAGGGTCACTGACACGGGCATTTGAATCTGGGCAGATGATTTCGGCTTTCAAGTTCCATTCCATCGAGCTTGTCTACGTTCAGGTCGATGTACATACTTGCGTCCGCGGCTGACCCACGTTCCCCCCTTTAGCATACGCAGCAAGAGCTGACTATGGCTGGTCGCAAAGAGCATAGCAGTAAAATGCGGAGCAAGCATGGAGTAAGCACACTCTCTGTCACTGTCGCCCTGAAAACGTCCACAAACAGAGGCTTAGGGAAACGACAATTCGTAATCAAACGGATGCAGCTCAATGCCACCTTGTGCTCCTTACATGTGCGGTACACCTGCTTGAAAATTGATGTGCTGCCACAAGGCACATGACAAGATGACAAGGTATTCGAACTCGGGAACCAAAGTTCAATCCTCCTGCAACGGCGCACTATCTAAGCACCTTGTCTGCTTACATACTTTGAACTCGGCTATCCCTCAGTACAATCCGTAAATGTCATATCGACATGACTTCCCGTGAGCATCCACCAAAGAAAAGAGATAGAACCAACGAAAGTTGCGACAAGGCGGCCAAAAACATCATGTGGCGTTGTGAGCAGATACGACGCCGGTACGGAGCCGATGTGTACATCCAAGTCCGCTACAAGAACAGGCATTACGAGTACTCGTCGTCGAACGACAATAGTTTCCCCAAATCTAGAGCTGAGTTGGTGAGTTCGATCACCCCGTAGTCTTTCCATGCTAAAGTTGTAAAGAAAGGGGTCTACCCTATCCTGGTAGCAAAGTCACCAATGGACTTTGAGGAGAAAGAATGCCCGAGCGAAGAGAAGGATACATCTGGGTGATTTAAGTTTGGCGGCAATGCACCTATGCGGTGGAGGATTGGCACTTCAGATCACCTTAGCACTACTTGCAGAACTGTCGCTGATAATGATGTCCACCTCTGATGTCTCTCTCCCTCGCGTCCGTATGTTATCGTCGTCTGTTTGGCAAAATTAGCAGACAAAATGTTCAAAGCGGTGCGAATGAGGTGTTTTCTTTGTTCTTGAGGCTGATCATGCAGTGCTCCTGAGTCGTTCGTCTCATGATCGATCGCAGGCCAAAATTCACTGCCTCAATTGCTTGCCACTTTCCCTCCCCTCCTAGCATCCGATCTGATAGCATTTGACGCTCTGTGTTTGCCTACTTCCTGCCGTTGCCTTCGTTCGGTTGGCGCTGTTGACACTCTTGGACGGAAGGAGTCGCTAAAATGACGTAGACGTGTTGTCTACTCAACGCAGAGACATCGAAGCTTCATGCGCAAGTGGCAAGTCTCCTGATAAATAATTGGAGAAACTCCATAAGCTTTCTGCTCCTGACCTGCCATTATCCACGACTTCGTGAGATGGAGGCGTCAACCCATTCCCTCATGCTTACGGAACCGCTCTCGTGCTCTCGGTCCTGGAGGTGGCATTTTCTTAGGTGTCGCATGCTCTGTTGAGGTCGACACTTTCTGCCATTGCCTGACGCACTCCTCCAACAACGAGACACGCGCCCTCCGTCCTCAACAATGGTGCTTGTTGTCATTATTGGAATGTCGTGACGCATTAAGCCGAAGTGAACCGTGCTCGAAGCCTCCGCAAGCCCTGATCATGGCCTCTTACCTCGCCGGGCTCTTGCCACGGTGATCGACGTGGGACGAGCGAATGACGAGCGCGATTGGGGGTTACCAAGCACGGGCCAAGGTTCTGATGCCAGGAACGTGGCGTGCCTGCCAAGATGGCGTATCCGTAGCCCGTAACGCAAATGGATCCACCCCAATGGCTTGGTGTCAGAACCTAGAACTGTACCGCTGAGCCATGTGTACAAAAAAAGGGACCCCTCATTTGTATGAGACGGTTCTGAGTACTTATGTAGTTCCGTCACTTGGCTACGCCTAAATCCCACGCTTTGTCTGTCCTGTCGTTGAAGAGCTCTGCTAGAAAACAGCTCTTATCAAGACGTCAGCCGCAGGCATTATAGGCGAACCGAGAAGCGTAGAGGAATTGACTAGGCTTCTGCAACAAGCGGACGATCGGGCCAAGGCGGCAGAGCGAGAACGGCAGCAAGAATGACAACGCGCCGACTCAAAACAACAGCGCGCCGAGGCGGCAGAACGCCAGCGACAGCAAGAACGACGGCGCGCCGAAGCAGAACAACAGCGTGCCGACGAGACAGAGCAACAAACCCGACCCACCTCGCTCGACGAATCTGCCATTCCCTCGTTTACAGCAAATTTACCGTCGAAATCGACCGTAGATTGACTTCCAAGGGTTCCATCACAAATCCGCGCCAGAAGTGGTGCCCGGCCAATCTCTAGCCATGGACCAACTTTCTGCAGCAACAACGCATCTTCTTCGGCATCCTTTACGACACTTTCCCCTCCGATCGACGCTGTTTCGAGAGCCGATCGGTCCGGTCCGGTCTGGGAAACAGAATCGCCCGGCGCAAAATCACCGACGAGAAGGCCCTCGAGTACTTCCTGCACAACAGCGTCGAGGACCCCGTTCGAGCCATCATGGACGAACTCAAGAAGGTGGAAGAAGTAAAAAGCGCGTTCGATTCGGGAAACGGCATCGTCTTCGAGAATCACCCGCATGCGATCAGTGACACGGCCGAGGAGGTCGTCAACCGCAACGTCCCATCGACACCCACCCTCTACACCGTACAACAGCAAGGTCGACCTCAAACAGCTACGAGCCGATCAGATCTGCATCTACCGCTCCGAAACTGTCGGCTCGGAAAGTCGCACGATGCTCTACGTTTCCGAATACAAGCCCCCGCATAAACTGACCGCGCCGCATCTTCGCCTCGGTTTGCGCCCGATGAACATATATAAAGAGGTGGTCAACCGGAAAACAATCCCCACGTCAGTCGACCCAGATGCACGATTTCAGTATCATGCGGAGAGACTCACGGCCGCCACCATCACACAGACCTATCACTACATGATCGAAGGCGGACTCGAGCACGGCTTGCTGACGACGGGCGAGGCAATCGTCTTCTTGAAGCTTGACTGGCGCGAGCCTGAGACACTCTTCTATCATCTGGCAGAGCCATCTGCGGAGACGGAAGCTCACCCCGAGCATGCCCACCTCTGTACGGCAGTTGCTCAGTATCTGGCCTTCAGTCTGATTGCTCTGAGTATGCCAGGCGAACGATCGCCACATGGGCAGGACGAGCGGCGCAGAGCTATGGACGAGTTGCCCACGTGGGCGGAAGACTTCGAGACGACGCTGCGGTCCGTTCCGGATGGTGAAATGCAGCCATCGGAGAGCCCGCCGGGATACGAACCAAAGGCGTACAAGGACGTCGACAGATCTCCGTGCTTAGCCGAAAGACGAGGCGAGGACATGCAAGAGACCGGCATACAAAGGAGCAAGTCACAAAGGACCCGAATGAATCATCTGAATCATCGGATGACGAGTCGAGACGGGATGTACCAAGCACGCGTACGCCTACAGGAAGGCAGATTCGCGGAGGGAATCCCCAGAGCCAGGGCGGTCAGGATAGCCAAGGACCCCGACGCAGTGAGCGGCTTCTAGCGCTTCGGCCGCGAGGTGGTGGTGAAGGGCGGGGGGGGGGAAGGGGGGAGGGGCAGGCAAGAATAGACACAGGTCGTACTGCACGCAGAAATGCTTGCTAGGCCTCGTTGGAGGCGACGTCCTGGACTCAGGGTGCCCGAACATTCTCCTTCACTGCAGGAAGCCGAGCGATGACTGCGGCTACAACCACGGCAGTAGCCGCGCTGATGCTTGTCATCCAATCAACCGCAATGGGTTCGTGAAGCTTTTCAGAAAGCAGCTGAAGCAGACCCTAGACGATGGCATAACACCTTTGGGACAAGGCGGTGCGCGAGGAGTCTTGTTCAAAATAAGCCTGCTTGCGTACAGCTGCACCTTTGTCAGCAAGGGCGCAGTACGGGCGTTCATCATAGACCTTGAGGACGAGGTAGCGGTTTACGAGCGTCTACGGCCTATCCAAGGTATACATGTGCCTGTGTTTCTTGGGACGATCGACCTTCAGCCGCTGAACAGGATCTATTACTGCGACCACTGAGTCTACGTGGCGTACATGACATTTCTGTCGTGGGGAGGACATGATCTCTACGCGATAGGGAGTGTAGACGGTGAACACGGACACCTAGGAGAGATGGCGATGCGGTCGTTGCGTGCGATCCATCACCAGGCGTTGTGGACAGAGACATGCGGGAGGAAAACATGCTGTTTCGAAAGAGCGCACCACTGACGCAGCTTGTGCCGAACAAGCGCAGACGGACACCGAAGTTGGAGAAGGGCAGCAAGTTGTCAGTGAAGTCAACAGGTCGAGATGAAGGCGATGGAGTAGTTATTCTCAGGGGACATTGAGACGGTGAAGGAGATTCTTGGAAGCAGGTGACTATGCATAGCAAAATGGACATCAGCCACCTTTCAAGGCCTAGCAAGAAGCCCTGGCACACACTTCACGATCGTCCCACGGTACTGGCACAGCGTCCGCATACCTCAGTGCTTGTGCACTGGTATGCTTTGTGCTTCGTGATCTGCAGGCAGTTGTAGCACTGCTGGGGCGTGGCCGCCGCTCAAATGCCATCATCGAGCCGGACTCCCATCTGACGTGGAAGAATCCCTAGGGGACCAGTCTACGCACATCACTGGCCCTGGCCACGAATACAACAACCATGGGGCCTTACGCCTTGGGCATGTCTTGTTGCTGAGCCAAGATACCTTGGCAACCGCGGTCTCTGCTTCCGCCGCTTCGGCCCTGACATTACCTTCTCATCCAACACCTCGGTTCGCTTCACGTTGCAGGTTTTCACGGGACAGAGCTCGTCTCGCAGCATCTGCGTTCCATAACCGAAACTCATCTCCGCGATATTCTTGACCAGGTTGAGTCCAGTATCGGTTCCTTGGGTCTCCTGCTATGGCGCGACACCGCCAGCTGCCCTGTGGCATGCATCACGCTGGTCTCCTTTTCCACTGCCGCCTGAATCCGATCGGCGTGCTTGCAAGCCAAAGCCGCTTCGCGCGACGTCCACATATGACGCACCCGGGCTATTCCATGTCGCCGCCGCTGTCGCCAGTGATTCGAGGTTTCCTTTGTTTTGGCGCTTTCGTCCTCCACAGGTTCCTTCACCGTTTGCAGCTTGTACTTGACTAGCTTCGGCTCGACTATGTACGCGAAGCTCTGTCTCAACGCTCCTGTTCCATCATTCCGACTTCCTCCACTCATCGACCATAATCTTAATCGCCGTATGTAGCTCTTTGATCTGTTTGCCTATTGTCATCACCAGAACTTTATCGTTATCCTCAATGGGCTTCACGCGTTCCTTGGCCCGGCATGCGGCTTGAGTAGTGGTCGCCAGCCAGCCACCGCCAGCAGTATCGGTCTCGCTCGATCGCATCTTCGGTTATCTCTTGGTAGGTCTGGTGCGGTCGAGCTTTTGTGGATTGTTTTCGCACCCTTACGTAGGAGCTGTGACCCTCACAACTCCTCAAGGTAGTACAAAGATCACATTGCAACTTCATTCTGGTCCAGGCATGGCTTGCAGCTTAGTACAAACCTACCCGGACTCTTTCATGTTGTCGATGGTCCGAATTTGGGAGGCTTTTTGCACAGGAGGCTTGCCAAACAGCGCAATTTGTCTGCCCATCTCTACGAGATTTTCATTGATGTCTGGTGGCCATGATTCGTTCGTGCTTTTGACCGCATATATTTCTCATGCCCCCTAGCTTGTTACCCGTGATTGTTACGGGAAAGGGCAGTGACGCATGCGCGAAATGGGTGATTGCGTCAGACCATAATGTCGAGAAGCAATGAGCCCGCGTGTGGGCGGACACCGAGAACAGAGGAAAAATGTGATTGCTTGACAATATGGCAGGTGGGGCGGCAGAATGCAAACCAGGAACGGCAGAAAATTCTGCAAAATTGGCAGAAAGATTAAGTGGAACGTGAGTGGAGACGGCAGGAAGATGGTACATGTGTGGTCTAGCAGAAAGCAAAGGGGGAGCGGCAGAACTAAGATTAGGAACGGCAGAAAATTCAACACAGCTGGCAGAACATGAAAGCGAAAGGAAGTCGAGGTGGGTACGGCAGAAAGACATAAGTGGTCTAGCGTAGTAGGGGTGGGGCGGCAGAATAACCGAAGGCTTTCCCTTCAAGTAGCGAAAAGACCTGGAATTGTTGTGAGCTTGTAGGAGTCGTTGAAACACGAGAACGTTCATGAAGACAGCAGAAAATCCGTCTCGACGGGTGGAGGACCTGTTCTCCTTCCAACAACGCAGGCCACTGTGTTTCCCTTCATCCTTTTGTCAATAAAGCTGTTTTCCATTGTTGAACCAGGTAGCAGAATGGACTTGAACAGCAGACAGGTCGCTACTTAAGGCGTCGCACCGTGATGTTGATTCATCAAGAGGTTTCAATCGTCAATTCGTCACACTGTTCCATTCCGTAGACGGCAGAATACCTGTCGAATTGGGGTTCAAAAATGCGTATCTTCATCTGTTCTCTCTAGGTATGTCTAGGGCGTTCCTGGACGCCTGGGAGTAGGGGTAGGGGCCTCCATTGCTGCCTCAGGCCCTGGCGAAAATAGATACCGCCGAGCCCGTGCCTGATGCCGCTTTAAGCCTCTTCAATCTGACAATACCAGTGGGTATGGCAGAATATGAGTAGATGTGGCAGAATCGACGGATTTGGAATGGTTTGCTGGAGACGGCAGAAAACCAGGTGGGTCTTGAATAGTTGCGGGACGGCAGAATAATTATGGAGATGGCAGAATCGCTGCATGTGGGGAGTAGGTACTGAGTACGATTTGGTTTCTTCGAAGATGTGAATACCTGTCACGGGACCAGGCACGGGACCTTATGCCAGGGTGTGCTGAGGGTATCGCGAGTCATGGCGAGCCCCTTTCCCAGCCGCGACGCGCCGCTGCAAGCAGTGCGCCCTCTCTCTCCTGTTCTTCGCGCTACGTCTTGTATCTAGCTAAACCTGATCCTGCGAGCATCTCATCTTCCTGTTGAAGAGCCACGGAAGCTTGAACCCTCACAATGCCCGCGACCATGCACTGATTGCTGCGGAATGTACAGTTTGAATGAAGGAACAGGCAGGAAATGGGGCGAGAGTTGCCATGTTGACAACCGCCCGCAGCAGCAACAAGTCATCGAAGGATATTGATATCTATATTGGCCTGTTGCATGAATCAATCCCCTCCGCTGGATGCAATATCTATGCATATCGTCTATTTTCTATGCTAGAGATAACTGGGTAATTTAGAAATCGATCCGTCCTCGTGAGCTTTGTTGGGTACATATGAAATGCGTCATTCTTTGTGCAAACCTCATACAGATCTTTGCTTGACCATCCTCCTCTGCTGGACCTTCTTCGCCCGTCTCTGCGTAGTCTGTTCCGTTGTTCTTAGCGAGATATTGTGTTTAGCCTTGACATGGTTTCTGAACATATCCAACGAATCCATCTTTTGGTATTCTGGCTTATCTCGACATTGAGGGTGGTTGCACCGTATGACTCCTCCAAGCTGGACAGTGCGCTCACGTTCTTTGAGATGCTGGTCGTCGAAGTGGTCATTACGCACTGTCGGCCGGCAGTACTTGAAGGTTCGCTCCTGTATCGTAAGTCTTTCATCGCCGACACAATCGGGACACTGATTCCGGTCCAGAATGGTGGGAATGATATTGGCGCCAGGTTGCTGACCAGTATGAAGTTGAGATTGGCGACCTCTGCGAAGGCGATTTTGTCTGCGCGTCTCCCTTTTGCCGAACAGTCCAACCATCAGGTCGATAGCTTCTATCCAAAGCTCGGTGAAGTCGTCGTACGTACAATTGCTTGGTTGATGGCAAAGAATCTGGGCCAGTCTAGCACGCTCAGGGATTGACAAGTCGATGGCCGGTTCAGTGTACTCCTCGTCTTCATCGCCACGTGCCTGCCTCTCGATGTCCCAAGTAGGACGGTTGTAGAAATAGTAACGGCGATACGCCTCGGCAACCTTTTTTTGACGCTGATCCTGCTTGGTGCGGATCATTTCCGTCAGCTGTCGAATCTTCGGCTCTTGTGGCATGCCTTGCACGCGATGCTGGCCACCCTTCAACGCTTGTCGTTGCTGCTCCAATTCCAAAATTTGAGGATCGTCTGGTAGATGGTCCCAAACTTCCTGAGGCACCATGTCTTTCGTTGCGCGAGGATCCCGTGTTAGGCTCACATGGGCGAACACTTTGTACAACTGCTGTTCAGTCTTTTCTTCGAGGAAAGTATTCTGCAGGTCGAAATTGACGTTCTCGTTGAGATAAGCGCCGTGAAAGGTGGCGAATTTGGGATCGTGGCGCATCATCTGGTCGCGAACAGAATCAGAGGCGTTTCCTAGAGTTGAGATTGTTAACCTCAGTCTTCGAAAATGATTGCTGGCGCCGACTCACCATTGGCCGCGTTCGCTGCTCCTCTCCGGGCAAATCTCGGCGTCCATGCTTTTTCGAAGCCAGCGTCAAGGCTCTGTCGATGCATGTCATCTCTCAACTTGGAATAAGTCATCGCTTCGTCCATTGAAAGCTCGGCGTCGTGGTATTTTCGGAATAGCGGTGTTTTCAACATCGATTGCTTCCACCGCAATGCTATGGATTGGACCGGACCTTGTACTCGCGTTCGCAGCACCGCCGTCGCGTTCGTCAAGCTTGGCGCATCGAAGGCCTGATCTCGAAGTGCTAGAGCGATCACAGTGCTGACGGCACAGAAAATGAGCTTCTTCGCAGGGGTGAAGAAAAACACGGTACTTCGCACGGTTAGCATGCGGATTGCGCAAGAGAAAAGGGGCCCGGAGGGAATGGCGAAAACCGCCAGAAACGAAGGGAGCGCCACGACCCCGTTGTATATACTCACGGTTTAGGTTTATTGTCAGCGCCTTTGTGGTGGATGAATTTAATTGCCATCGCCGGTATAGCCCGTCCAGTCGCAGGATGACGCACAATCATCATGTGTATGTCCTCGTAACACAAGGCTTTGGGGCGTCCTCGACCAACAGTCTCCTGCAGCAAAAGCTTAGTGAGCGGAGAAGAACATTCGTCCTGCGCCATGCTGTTGCTGTCGTTGTGCGCCGCGTCTTTCTCGTCCATAGACTCCCGTCTTTCAGCATGCACGATTTCGGCAGGTCGTGCGCCGGTATAGCAGAGGAGCTGATAGCAGCAAGCCAACTGAATACGCTGACCCTCTGATCGGAAGATTCCGACGTCATAAGCGATGTTGAACATCAAAATGGCGCGCAGACTATCAGCGGCAAGGACGGGCTTGCCGTTGGTGTTCGGTGCTCGTAGCTCAAAACGGGGTATGAGAACTCGGTGGTGAAACTAGCCAAAGCCATATCAGTCTTGTGGGAAAATAGCTAACTGCATAAGGTGGGCAAGGTACCTTGTAAAGCTCCTTCATGTCGTTCCGATCCAGGTAAGAACCGGCAACGCACGTGTACAGTTGTTGAAATTGGCGAATGTATACCTGGGTAGTGCCCCATGACTTGATCGCGCCCGCAGACCATTCGCATACTCGAAAAAAAAAGGTCATCGTCGTCTGTCGGGTCACCGATTTGAGAGCCGCTCGCCAGTCGTCCCACTGTTGCTCTTCGCAGTACCTACCCGTGCCAAAGATTAGCAGTGGCATGCCGTGATGGACTTTCAGTGGTTTACCTTTTCCATTTTCTGCATACGACCGAGATGTTGATCTTGGATTCATCTGCCAGCTTCGGCTGGATGAAGCGGACTGTTTCAAGCTCCTTCCGAAGAGCATCGTGCTCGTCGGCAGACAAAGGCACCGGGCGCTGTTTTTGCCGATCCTGTGCTTCTTGTTGAGTGAATTGCTTGATGAAATCCACGTCAAGCTCGAGGTTTCCAGTTGCAGGAGCAGAAGTCATCGGGAGCCGTGTGTTTTGGGCGAGAAACTGTTCGTCGAGGTACTGAAAAAGCAGGGCCGGCAATTGCGCGGAACAGCAAACGTGTTCGGCAGACGTGTTGCCTCACTTTATACCGGGCATGAGCCGGTTTGAGAAACAAGGGGAGAGCCATTGTCAAAGTGAGTTTAGGCTCCGAGTGCCATACAAGCAAGATAGCTGGGAGGAACAGAATCACGACCCAGGGCGACGAAGTGGCCCGAAATGAGAGGAAGCAAACACCTGCTGTGAAATACTCCACAGGCCACTTTCGCACGAGGGGCACAGTGGGGCTGGGTTGGCAGCAGCGATGTATTTAGTACCTGGCTTGAGCACCTGACCACCGGTTTCCCTCACTGCCAATGCCACCAAAAACGGCGGCACTTTCCACCAAAAACGGCGGCACAAACAGCAACTTTTGTGTTTTAGAAGTAATATTATTAATAATAGTTATATTAACTACTTCTTTTTTTTTCCTTAATATTAATAATACTAATAGGAGGTTTTTCTATTAACTAAATACTTTTTTAAAATATAGAAAAGTATAGTTTTCTTTAGTATAGTTTATTGTTTTATAATGTTTATAATACAAACTGTTTTACTTTTTTTAGGTTTTTTACTTATTTTATTTTTATTTTTATTATTTTTATTTTCTTGGTGCTTATTTTCTTAGTTTTTTTTTTATTCTTAATAATAATATTATTAATCACTTCTTTATTACTTTTTCTCTTATATTTATCTATAAAATTAATGTATCAAGAGTCTAAATTATAAATAGAAAAGTTAGTCTTAAGAGACTAAGTTATAGAAGTTATAAAAGCTTTATAAATTTTATTTAGATTATTAAGTATATAAGCTATAACTACTTAATCAAGTAGTTTAAGCTAATTATAAAATAAATTATTTATAAGTTCTTTTATTTTATTTATATAGTTTTCTATAGATTTAAAATTATTTAAAGAAGTATTAAAAAACTTTTTATAGGTTATAAACCTGTAAGGGGCTGGCCCCTAGGCTTGTTCAGCGTAGAGGTGCCGTCGATTGACTATTCTAAGCTGAAGAAGGAAGAAAGGACTTTACAAGGGTAGGCACCTAAAAGCGGTGAAGCAGGCCGGGTTAGGCGGCGTACTGCGGCAGAATAGTGGGTCCAACGGAGCCGGATCTCGGTAACTGCTCCGGCGAAGCCGGAGATATCAATCCGGGCTCTAGCCAGTGACACTTATATTATAATAAAAAATAATAATCTTAAGTATTTATAAGTGTTTAATTATATAAATAATAATAAAGGAATAAATATATTATAATAATTCCTATTATTATAGTTAGTAAGTTATATCTTTTAGTAAGGAAAAGTAAGGAGAAAAATAACTTAAAATATAACCTACTAAACTACTAGTTATATAAAGTACTTATATAACTATATATGTTATATAATCAATATTATAGTTATAAGTTATAATAAATAGAGTATTTTTATATATTATTTTATACTTTAAACTTTATTAGTTTGTTTTATATACAATATTAAAGTAAGTTAAGCGTTATTATTACTCTTATATTATTATTATTATTATTATTATAAAAGAATATTATATATTAATATATCTTAATATATCTTAATATATCTTAATATATCTTAATATATCTTATACTATTAGTAAACCCAGCTGATATTAAGCTTTTTGAGGCTTACTTTTATATTATAAAGTATTTCTTTTAGTATTTTAAGAGAACTATTTATTGTAATATTATCTTTAGTAATCCTAACTTAAAAATTAACTATAGTTCATATATTATAATAGATTTATCCTTTATAAATAATAAGCTTTCTTATATTTTAATTAGTAGTTATATTATTTATTTTACTAATAGTTTAATTACTTAAAAGTTAAAGAAATAAACCTTTATTAGTTTTAGTTTAACTAAAGCTAAATATACCAACTTAATACTTATAGTAGTTACTATAAAGTAGCTATATTACATAGTTAAATCACTCTTTAATCAGAAGATCTTTATACTTATTATTCTCTTTACTAATAATATTAATATATATATTAATATTAAAAACCTTTTTAATAAAGCTGAAACTTATTATATTAACCTCTATTATAAATGAATTATTTAAAAAGCTATTTATAATAAAACTATTATAATTTATTAGATTAAAAGTAGTAAAATACTTACTAATAGCTTTATAAAAAGCTTAAGTTTTTATAAATTTATTAAATTTATTAAAGTATTAAAATTAGTAAAACGTTTTAATTAAATATAATAGAATAAAATAGAGGATATTAACTAATTTAGAGAAGGATTAATTTAAACCTTTTAAACTAATTAGAAGCTAAAGATTGTTCAACATTTTATTAAGTTATCAAATAGTTAAAAACTCTTTATTTTCCAGTTTTTTAGTTTAAAGAGTAATTTTAGCTAAAGTAGTTAGTTTATATATTAGCTAGTACTATAAAGCTTAAAGGGGAGTATTAATAAGCCCTACTACTTAGTTACTACTCCTATAACTTATGAGTAAGTACTAGAGGCTGCTATATAGCCCTCTCTAGTACCCTAGCGTCTAGCTAGTTCTTCCCTATATCATATCATAGTTATCACTACGTTCTCAGGGACCGCGGTCGGATTCCCGTCGAAGGCATCAAGGCCTATATGCAGAGCCCCGACCTGAGACACCCCAACAGAGAACAATCGGACGTGTAATTCTACCACCTCGCAGTCGAGGAAATCTCTGCCGAGGCCAAAAAACACGCATTAATCACAGGAAGCCAGCCTATTGCCACCTTAAACTCGGACGTTATGCTCCTGTTTCATTCCCACCAGATGAGCAATTCCGGGGAAATGGGCGACACATGGCACACGAGTGCTGGCGACGAGCTCTTTATCGAGAACAGCGGAGGTCAACGCCTTGGTTGCTGGATTGAGGCGAGAAAATGAGAGACTGGGAGAAGATGGGACATCAATGGAGTAGAGGTGGAAGGTGCAGGGTGGCCATTTCTCCATGCTGAACCCGCACCCTTGGAGTTCCCAGACCTAGAACAATCTTTTCAAACCTGGATAGTCCTAGTTACAAATAATTTTAATAACCCTCGAAAATGTAATTTTGACTCTTCTGTCACCTCCACAAAGCAATCACTCATCATTAACTCCCGCACTCGCGAAATATACCACATATTCTCTTCAACGATGAATCCAGTCACCCTGAAGCCAGTTACCCAGTCTAGGGTCGCGGACATCTCAGATCGGCTCCCAGTTTTGCTGCTCGAGCGTAACCAGTGGCCCGCGAGCTACGTCAAGTCGCTCGTGAAAAAGTCCCCCGCCTGCATCACATCCAGCAAAGGCACGCAGTTGCCCCTGGAGCTGTGGCTCGATATCATCGAGATTGTTGAATATGCACCTGATTACTGTGCTCTTCTCCAGCCAGTCTCAGTTCGCGAGACCAACGGCCCATGTCTCCTCGTTTGCGTCGAGATAACCGATTGGGATACTTGTGGAGAACTCAAGTACACACGGGCCTACGAACATCATATCTACAATCCTTACCAGAAAGACGGTTACGTGAAGATGAAGGAAGGTGATGAAGAGCCCCGACCATGGAGAATACCTGAAGTCACCCCAGACAACGAAATTTTAATCGACCTTGGCTCCGTTCCTGAAGAAGAGGACCATCTTGTTGGAATCTGGTGCGACGTCGAGGTCAGACACATCATTGCATTCATGAAAGGGGGAAACTGCTCGACTTGCGGTGAACTACGCTGGTTGTACACAGCAAGCAGACAAGGCTGGGAGATCCAGGATACCCACAGGTTCGGGGCTTGTTGGCCTGACGATGGTGGAAGCTACTTTCTCTGCCCGCTTTGTTGTGGCGAGGACGCCATGGATGTTTGTGTTGATATCATGCGGATGATAGACCGGGAGCGCTATGAGAGCGACGACGAAGAGGTTAAGAAGCTAGATAAGTGGTGCGATGAACGTCTTGAGGAGCTCAAATACCGTAGGCATAGGTTCAATTACTGGCTGCCTTGAAGGCGGTATGGTAACTGTATCTGCCGTGGTGTTTTTTATCTCCCTAATGTCATCGCCCTCGTCGTTGTCGTTCTCGATCGATATCTCTACTAGCCAGCTAATCTTACTGAGATTTAATGAATTTCATAAAATAAATGGCGATGCGCACAATGGTGTTGTGATCAAAGATACGTACCAGGCAGCTGACTTAGAGTTCTGGCGACAGCTACAGGGCAAACCCGCGGGGTACCTTACTACCTCCTGTCAGTGGTGGCAGGCCGTTGCGGTTACGTGCAGCAGCTCCAGTCACCATCCAGGTCAGCCAATGGGAGAAGCTACAGCGCCCCCACCAGCGCTGGTCTAGCCCCCGCGTCCGAACGTTCAGCGGATGTTTCTCTCCGCGACAGGCACTAACGACGGGACGCCAATGGCACAGGGATCCATTGCGAAGCCGTGTCGTCATGGAACATCGACTGACCTCATCCGACCTCAGCTCTCACCTTACGGATACGTAGCCCGCGCACGCCTTCGATGGCCCAGGGCGAACGCCGATGGCGAGGGGAAGCTACAAGAAGTGCCATGAGCTCCTGCTTTCGCCAATGCGTCCAACATGCGACCTGCCGCACGCTCGCCTGCCTCAATTGGCGCCCTTAGACAGCGATGAGATCATCTCTTCCGTGCCGCCTCCGCCTCGCGGCCAGATATAATTGCAACATCAACAACCTCACCCCATCCTCTTCGTTGTCCTTTTCCACATCCATCACCACTTGTGATACCTTGAAATATTCGAGAAAAGCACCGCGCAACGCAGCACTTCGCCCAAACCCACTCCAGCACAACCAAACCAGAATGTCGTCTCAAAAGACCGCCGGCCCAGAGGGCAACGACCTCTTCACTCGCAGCCACCTCTTCGACCTCACCGGCAAAGTCGCCCTCGTCACCGGCGGCGGCACCGGCATCGGTCTGATGGCAACACAGGCCCTCGCTGCCAACGGCGCAAAAGTTTACATCACCTCCCGCAACCGCGAGAAGCTCACCAACACCGTCGAGACCTACGGCAAGAACATCGCCGGCCAGATCGTTCCCATCCAGGCCGACGTCACCAAGAAGGACGACATTGAGATGCTTGTCCAGGAAATCACGTCCCGCGAAAAGGTTCTCGATATACTCGTCAACAACGCCGGTGTTTCCAGCTCCCCAGTCGAGGTCGAGAGCGATGACGCCCATGACATGAAGAAGTCCCTTTTTGAGAGCGACAAGGCCGACTTTGAGGACTGGACTGAGGTCTACAAGACGAACGTCGCGGCCGTATACTACGTGGCCGCCTCGTTCCTGCCCCTGCTGCAGAAGGCCACTGAGGTACAGCAGGGCTGGTCCTCCACCATCATCAACATCAGCAGCATCAGCGGCATGATCAAGAAGTCGCAGCACCACTTCTCTTACAACGCCTCAAAGGCCGCCACCATCCACGTCAACCGCATGCTCGCCGAGGAGGTGGCCTCCAACGGCCTCAAGATCCGCATCAACAGCATCGCGCCGGGCGTCTTTCCCTCGGAGATGACCACCAAGAAGCCATCCGACGATCAGCAGAAGAGCGAGATCCCCAAGGAGAAGTACGCGGAGAAGGTGCCGGCGCAACGCCCGGGCAAGGATGAGGATATGGCGGCTACGGTGCTGTACTTTGCGTGCAATCAGTACCTGAACGGACAAACGCTTGCTGTGGATGGAGGATATACCCTGGCAGCTGGCTTGTAATGAGAACAATCTGTTTGGAGTGCGGCGTGGTTTGGGATCGGCCCAGCTTGATGAGCTTGGCATGTAGAAGGCGGAATCAAAAGCGGCCTTTACGATCGAAAGAAACATGATTTTCACAACTTGCATCTGTTTTTCCAGAGAAATCCGCCCGAACTCCGCGCGGACTTGAGTCATCTAACAGATGGGACTTTGGTTGTCTAGCAGATGGCTAGATAGCAAGCTGACAGGGGATAGCTGCAGGAAGTCATGCAAGGTAAGCACGCTTGTTGGATCCAACCTGGCACTTTTGTCTAGATTGGTGGGGTTGGCCGGCGCGTCGCTCTCTCAACCAGCAATCTGATCTGAATGATGGGAATCGATGTTGTCCGCATCTGGTGGAGATTGCCATCAAAGAAAAGGTGCTGCCGCGATGCACACACGGGAATGGGTCTTTATCTTCCGCCGTCCCCTCCCTCTTTCCCATAGTTTTCTGAACAAATGAGTCGTGTCTCACTGTCTACACTTTCCAATCCATACCGTCAACATAAACGAGCCCCCGGCAACATGGTGCTCGCTTCTTTGCGCAACTTGCGATCACAGTGGTTTCCGCCAGCGCCCACGTTCACCGAGGACAATGTTCCGCCGCAAGATGGCCGCGTCTTCATCGTCACCGGGGGCAACGCGGGTGTCGGCTTCGAACTTGTGAAGATGCTCTACACCACGGGCGCTACCATCTACATGGCGTCAAGATCCAAGGTTGGTTTCGACACCCACATCAGAGGGCTCATCGTCATCTGCTCGTCGCATGATGAACTCCCGCTCCATCGTTCTTGACACTAACCGCCAACAACAGGAACGAGCCGAAAAGGCCATCGAGACAATCACCACCGCCTCACCAGCCCCCAAAAGCCCCGGACGCATCAAGATGCTCCTCTTCGACCTTAACGACCTCGAAAGCGTAAAGTCCGCCGCGGCATCCTTCGCGCAGCAGGAAACGAAACTCGACGTCCTCTGGAACAACGCCGGCACCGGCGGCTACGGCGTGGAACCCGGCGCGACAACAGTACAAGGCTTCCAGGCCATGGTCGGAATGCACTGCATCGCCGCCCAGCTCTTCACGCACCTCCTCATCCCCCACCTCCGCGCAGCCGCCACAACGGCCCCCAAGGGCTCGGTGCGCGTCGTCTGGACATCCAGCTTCCTCGGCGAAGGCGGCACGCCCACCAACGGCATCGACTTCGACACCCTGGAAAGCGGCACCCCAGACCTCGTGCAGAACTACGCCGTCTCGAAGCTTGGGAACTGGATGCTCGGCCGCGAGATGGCGGTGAGGTACAGGGCCGACGGCATCGTCAGCGTGGCGCAGAATCCGGGGAACATCGGGGCGGGGTCGTACGCGGGGACGCCGGGGTGGGTCATGATGCTGATCGGGCCGCTGATGTATGAGACCAAGCTGGGCGGGTGCACGGAGCTGTATGCCGGGTTGTCGCCGGAGGTGTCGTTGGAGAAGTCGGGGTGTTATGTTATTCCCTTTGGCCGGATTCGGGCGGATGAGGATTGTCCGAGGAAGGATCTTCTCAACGCTATGAAATCTGAGGCTGAGGGCGGGTTGGGGTATGCTGCGAGGTTTTGGGACTGGTGTGAGGAGCAGTGGAGGCCGTTTGTTTAGGCTGGTCGCTGCTTTGCGAGCCTGGCTGTTGGGAATGGTCAGCATTGCGGTCATCGACGGCATTGATGTGGATGAACGTGAAAGAGCGGATACCCAGCCTGGCCACTCTTCACGTCTTTCCTTTTCTTCATTGGAGCATTCTGAATTTTGACAGCTAAGGCCGTCTCCATCTCTGGCTTCAAATCACCTCTCTGATTAGGAGCGCATATGCAACAACCACCCCGAATACCCTGAGTTATGAACGGCACAGGACGGGCAAAGGCTGGGCGAACTCGTTATCAATTTTCATTGACATTTTAATTTGGAAAGGGCCGCGTGGTTTTGCTTCATCGCACTCGTCCTTCTTTGCTTCTAACTTTGCCTGTGGCCATACCTTTTTGACTGTTATTTGACAGGAACCGGACGAATCATCGCTCCTGCATATTCCTTACGTTGCTCAACTGCAAAATGCCACAAATCAGTCTCCAGTATCCCGAAGCAGCTTATCTTGTTGGTCATCGTCTCCTAAGACTCGACGCATTCGACTCCATGGAAGCTCACGGTAGTTTTCGAAGCCAAGAAAAGGAAATGTGAGCACGCTGCCCTAAGGCTGTGCGACAAGCGAATTAGGTTTCATCAACAGCCCGATCCATACTCAGGGCCTCCAAAACGCAGTAACATCAAGACGGACTTCATCAACTCAACCACGAATTAGACTTCTGCTCAACAGGGGCTCCCCTCCCAAATGCCAGCACCCCCGTTTGGGGGCATGGACAACAACTCTACTCGGGCCGGTTGACAGGACGCCAAGTCCAATGTTGCCGTTAAATTCAATACCGCAGTACCCAAGAAACGACGGCATCCCGCATGCCGCACAAGCTTTACCTAGTTGAACATAGCCTTCAGTGCATTAATCGGCTTACAACAACCATAGGAGAGCTATACCGCCTGATCCGTCGCGTTCAGCTGCCAAGCTGGCCAAGAAAACAACAGAGTCAAGACGCATTCAAACAAAATAGCAAAAGGAGCAATCTCGTGGGCGGTCCATTGCGTTGAGGCAGGACAGGAAGCAGTGCCCGCTCCCATTGAAAGTGAGGCGGATCTGCCTCATACTAATTGGGCGAGTTAATGATCGTGATCAACCAGGCTCTTCCACAATAAGAAAGGCCCCCAACCTGTACCGTGGTGGCACCGTCTGAACAAAGCCCTTGTTTCCGATCATTCAAGTCTAAAAAAGTCGCCGGGTCGATTAAGAGAAAAGGAAAAAAAACACTTCAGATGAAGCTCCCTGCTTGAGTCACGTTTCTTGGCATGACAACTCAATTACAGCGAACAAAAAAAGAACAGTGGCTCTCCAAGTGTGGCTGACGCGGTCCCGCTCGCAGGGATAATTCGCGAGATCCGAGAGCCTCATTGGCCGATCAAGTCGAGATCCCTTCGCACGGCCCGAGAGGCCTTGCTGGGTTTGGGATGAACTGCAAAAGTGTAATAGATTGCCGGCGCACCCCCAGCCCTGCGGTCGATCTTCAATGCGGTGGTTACTGTACGGTCCCGTACCTCCTTAATCTTCCCACGCGTGACGCTTGTTCTCGTTTTCGCGCCCAGACGGCGTTCCCCGGGGGGAAAGGGCGGACAAAAAAGTTTTGACATTAATGATCGACGCTTTCATATCAGCGCTGCCGTCCATGCCGCCGCGATTTGATCGGTCTTGGCGCCAAGTCAGCGCCTTCTATCGGCGAAGGCGTGGTCTCGGCGCTCCCGTGCAGAATATCGACACATCGTGATGGTTGGGATTTTGTAGTATAAAGGGCTGCTTGCCATCGCGCCATCGATACCGCGTAGTTCACCACTCCAAACCAACACATTCTTTACTCAACAACCAACTACACTCATTACAACCAACTACTCCACACATTCTTTTGACTTTGAACGACAACACTGCAACAATGCATGCCTCTCAGTTGTTCTCCGCCATCACCCTGGCCTCCCTTGCCGCCTTTGGCAGCGCGAGCCCCATCGCCATGGCCGAGGGTGAAGCCTCCGGCCTCGTCGCCCGCCAGGATAGCTGCAACGCCGCCCCGGTCAGCGGCGAATACGACTTCTCGTACTACACCTTCCACATCGACGCCAACGTCCAGCAGCGCGCCAAGGCCGCGGGTCTCACCAAGATCGGTGTCCTGCAAAAGTGCGACTCCAACGGCGGCATCTTCGGCAGTAAGTTTTGGCCCCAAGCTTTGAACAGTGATATGGCAGAGGACTAACAGAGAACCAGGCCAACCGAAGAACACCGAAAACTGGGCCTACGCCCCCCTGGACAAGTTCGGCCCCGACCAGAAGTACAAGATCAAGGTCAACCGCTGCAAGAAGGACTACGACCGCCACGTGTGGAAGTACCAGGTCTGGCTCTGCAACGAGAACAACTGGTGCGGCACGACCAACTGCGGTCTGGACCGTGACATCTGCCCGACGCAGAAGACCAAGTCGGTGGATTTGGTTGACAACGAGGCCTGGCTGTGCTCTGCTTAGAGGAGCGGCGAGAGGCGCGACGTGTACGATATTTTGGGGAAGGCTTCTGGTTTCTCTATACCTACCTAGATGTACATGAGCAATCAGCTTAGAATGATTTATGACCAATCCATTTTCTTTTTCTCTGATCTTGATGGAAACATTGCTTTGTTCAATTTTGGCCTTTACCTGCACTTGGGTTGTTTATATCGAAGTTGAGTACCGCTGTGACGATGAGTACTTCTAACTGAGCAAGTATCCGCCCGAATAGCGAAAATCAGGGATGGATGTTAACACTGAACACACAAACACACAAACGGGATGTCGTCTTGATTATCTGAGCCGGATTATTCTTATCGACCTTGATATCATCGTCCTATTCGTGCGCCCTCCATTATCCCTATAGCCCGTATGGTCCCTGGGCCCTGCTCACTTGGATGACAGACTGAAGTTTACCTTACCCACCTACCTACCTTACCCAAGGTAGTACCTTTCGGACTTGACTTCGCCCATACCTCTTCGGCACGGTGCACTCTTTCTCCGGAGAATGAAGAACGTAAACATCAGGATGCAGTATGCTTTTCCCGTTTCCGACTCCTTCACCTACTTATTAATATTCAAGCGCCTACCCTCTATTACATGACGCAGGCTCGAAGTTTGTCGCACGCAAGCACCTTCAAGACACCACCAAATTCCTCCACACCCTTCTTAGATCGATCAACAACCCCGGGCCCTAGCAAAGACGTCGCTCTCCAGAAAAGTCAACAGCACCGCAAAGCCGTTTCTCTCTACCGCGATACGACCGCGTCAACATAACGCCCACTTGTCGATCGTCGGAATCCAAGCCACCATGGGCCCCCTTCACGGCGTTGAGAGAGGAGTCGGCTCATACGTTGCGGGCGCCGAGCTTACACTCTTCCCTATGAATCAGATCACACGTCCCTACGGTATCAACCACTTTCCGTGGCCTTTCTTTACTAAATCAGGCCGGCGAAAAGAGCCCCTTCCCCGAAACCTCGACACCCGTCCTAGCGGTTTGTTTGACCCAGAAGCCGAACCTGACAAACAGCTTCGCCATTCGGTACTCAAAAACCTCTCTGGCGGCTTTGATAAGGACACCCAAGTTCTTCTTTGCGAGGTTCTGGAAGCTCCTTCCGTAGAATCGTCGCGCTACATCCCTCTGAAACTCGGCGATCGAATTTTGATCAAGTTGTTTGATCACTAATGTACCCTCAACAAACAACCCCCTATCCGCCGGAAGTCGTCGCTGACCAAGATCTCAGCCGTGAGGCATTGGTCTTGTTATACATGCACCGCATCGGAAGAGACGAGACGAGCAAGGAAGAGCCCTTATACCGACAACTCACCGGCGGCAAGCTGCTCGCCCCTGAATATCACAGCGCCTGGACAATCGAGCTGGATGGCGCAAGCAGATATATCGGCGCTGTTGCCATGGAATTTATTAACGGCGTTTCTATAGAAGAAGCTCTGCGAACGCGAGGATGAATCCGGCCGCCTCTAACCCAATCCCGACCACCAGCCTCTTTACCATATCGACGAGTCTTCAGAGCACGGCATCCTTGATATGAGTGATGAATCCCGTTTGAAGATTTTGGCTTATATTCTTGAGTGTTTCGTGAGGGGCTTCCAATGCGGAATTAAGTATGAGGATTCCCACCTTAAAGACTTTATTGTCACCAACTTTCGGAAAGGAAAGAAAATGTGGCGGCCCCACGTTGTTAAAGTCAACCATAGCCATTGCCGAGTGTGGCAGACCACATACAAAGGGAAAGGTCCCCTGAGACAGCGCAAGAGCGACAACCAGTGACTCTCTCGTCCTGTCCACCCTGCCGACCACTTCACTCTCCGAGATATCTGCGATTTTGCGGGTTGGTTCCCTTATGAATGGTGGCACGACGAAGCTAAATTTGAGGCGTGGCTCCTGGAAGCGTTTGGGCCAAAGATTGAGTACGACGGCCACCGATTCCAGCGTTTTTCTTTGTACGCCGACTTGGAAGTGAAGGAGAGAAAGGATGCGGCTAAGTCGTTGCCGTTCGCGAACGAAGACTCAATCCAGGGGCTGTTCTAGAAGGTGGGACCTCGAGGCTGGGACAGCGAGCTGGCAGAAGAGCTGGCGCACGACGGTGTCGACACTCTGGTCAGATACTTCGACCTTAAAATTTTATTCTAGACGGCCAAGAAGGCCGGCTCTCAAGATTTCACACGAAAATTAAACACATCGATTTGAAGTTTGCGAGATGCTTCACATAAATCAGAAGCAAATACATAGGGCGCGTGGCGCTCGCCTTGCGGCGGAGGAGACTGGATCGTCGTCGGATTAAATCCTCTACCCCGGTCCCGACGTCAAAGCGGACTTTTCGAGGAGACGGGGAACGCCATTTTGTCTTCTCCGAATGATTTCGCAGGTCGACGTTACCCTCAGGAGGGAGGTATTGAAACACTTTACCCCATTCCCAGGAGCTACCTCATTCTCGTTCGAGGATCCGTGATTGGCATGGATTGCCACGAGAATATGTGGCCAGTCCTCGAGGCCGAGATAAAGTTCATCAGATGGCAGCTCTTGATGACGGCCTCCACTTCGGAGGCTTGGCTCCGAAGGTCTGAGTTGGAAGCACGAAGCATCGGAGCCGTTGACAAGCTGTTGACGTAACTTCTCTACCTGAACGGAAACGGCAATAACCTACCCCGGGCTCTGGTAGTCGAAATCGGGCTCCAAATCGCATTCGGGATGCATAAGCTAGTTTTCCAATATTCGAAGTCCAGCTAGAAAATCTCATGCATATCAACATAGACTCAAAGATCCGCAACGATAGCCGCCGCAGATAACGGCTACCTCGGTCCAGACCAGAATCAAGGTCGAATGTATTGCGAGTACGGGTTGAAACCAAATATGAGGACCAAAACGATATCTCTCCGACTTGGAGATTAGACTCTATTCCCGGCGTATGCAGGAGAAAGTCGGGCCCGCACCCAAAAAGGAAGCATTGAGATGCTATTTTTATGATTAACAACATCAAATGCAGTTAGAAGCTCTGCTTCTTGACGTACTCTATCGCGATGTTCTCCTCCGTCCGCGCCGCCTGTTCCAGGCTTATCTGGTCCCAGAGCAAACAGAGCGAACAAATCAGCAGATGACATCGTGGACTACCAGAAGAGTGTGTTCAAAGCAAGGCGGTGGTTGCAGGAGGAGAACGCGGCGTCTGAGAGCCAAGAAGCGGCCAGTGGCGAAAACGAACACCGAGACTGCATGGACCGGGTCCGCGAGAGGGCTGAATAAGGGAATGGCAACCAGTCCGACGAGGTTCCTGCCTTGTCCGAGAGCGGTTTTGTTTACGGAGACGACGGATTCAGAAACTCGTTTTCAAACCTTCTAATCGGATGTTTACTTGTCAGCATATCAGTGATATCATCTGCTAACAACCAAAAGATTGCAATTCGCTTCTCAGACCTGTCCGAATGATGCTTTGTCACCGAAGTTGAAGAAGGGAGATAGGAGCTCTGATAAAATTGATCGAATTAAATATCGCCTTATTTTCTACAAAATATAGCTCATGACGGACTTCAAAAAGGAAAGTGCTGCAATTCTATTCTTTGCTAGGTAGGTAGCTGAATGTTAAGCCGGGTCATATCGTTGCGCAGGTCTACGTTGAAGCCGCCCGTCTTTTTGATGACTGAAGTACTTCCTGAACCCGAAACCTCTTTGTCTTGTCCACCTTGGGCTTTCCCCAGAAGCATGTGCACGGCGCTTTTCTCAATACAATCTCCATCCTTCTACCAAGTTCTCTTATAAACACGCGCCGAAGAAAAGAAGAAAACTCTCAAGAGCAAGGGCTGGTTAAAGCTACCTCTCTCCCTACCCCCGTAGCAACCTTGTCGTTGCTTTCTCCCTCTTGGTTACCATATTTCACTCCACGCTGCGGTTCGTCCTACTAGCCACAGGCATTGTTCTCTTCTCAAAGATATTAATCCCTTCGCGCAAAAATCAGAATCTTTCCCTGCGCACATCTTCTGCCACTCTTCGTCCCGTCAACCCCAGCCTTCCTCTCCGCGCCTTGCTGCAAACCATCATGTCTTCTCTTCACGACACCCAGTTTGAGGTACCGTCGTACGCGGTGGGCAAGGAGCTGGCGCTATCCCTTCACATAAAGATCACACCTCCGTATGGGCTCAGCCACTTCCCATGGCCCTGGAAAAGCCAACCACGTATCGAAACTCCCATCCCTTATTCGGTCCGGACATATCTTAGCGGCTTTGATCCTGCAAGAACGGCCCCCGCCAACGAACGAATGCATCTTTCCGTCCTCGAGACACTTTCAGGGGGGTTTGAGAAAGGTCCTCAAGTTGTTCTGTGCAGGGTTATACAAGCCCCTTCCCAGCCTACGCCGTACCACGCCCCTCTCGCCGCGGGAATGAAGATTGTCATTAAGATCTTCGACCACGAATACTACCCGCACACAGTTACTTTCCCCGGATCTTACACCCATTACCAGCTAGCCGATCAACATCTGAGCCGAGAGGCATCTGCTTTGCGCTATATGCACAGAGCTGGGAGGGATGAGAATGGGAATGAGCTCCCGGGGAAGCTCCGACTCACTGGCGGGCACAATCTCACACCTGAGTATTATGATACCTGGGCAATCGCTCTAAGCTCCGCGGACGAATGGCGATACGCTGGTGCTGTGGCTATGGAGTACATCGACGGAGTTTCCATGGATGACCTCTGCACACGCGAAGACGAGGACTCTATGCGCGTCTATCCGATGGCCGAACCACAGCCCTTGTATGATGCTGACGAGAACGAGACACATGGCTACCTCGACATGGGTGAGAATAGTCGCCTGAAAGTCCTTGCCGACATCCTCGGCGGGTTCGTGGAGGGCTACAGCTTCGGGGTCAACCACGGAGAATACGAGCTTGGTGATTTCATGATTACCTATCTGTCCCACGGAAAGAAGCTACGAGCCCCAAGAGTGGTCAAGCTGAATTCCAAGTTCTGCCAAGTGTGGTGTATGACCCGTATGGCAAAGATTCAGCGCTGGAGCGACAATGAACAGCTTCCGTACCCCGTCCATCCAGCCGACCACTTCACTCTTCGCGAAATCGTCGACTTTTGTGGCTGGTGGCCGTATGAGTGGTGGAACGACGAGTCACAATTTTACGCGTGGCTTGTGAAGGAATTTGGACCGATGGAAGAAGGCTTCGCGCCCTGGTATCTCTCTTTGTACGCTACTCTAGAGACAGGGAGGAGAAAGAGCGCGGCAGAAGCAATGCCGTTCGCGAATGAGGATTCGATCGAGGATCTATCCTAGCAGGAGATCCTCACATCCAAATCACGGACGCTGAGCTCAGAATCATTGTTCCCCGGAGCGAAGCCGCCTTGGTCGAGAAAGCATTCAACCCCGTCCGCGGAGCCAACCCAGTCCAAGTCCCGGATCATGCAAGAGAGACGCGTTACCTGGTTAGCGCTAGGTGGGCAGGTTTGCTCGCTGCCAGAGAGCTCGTGAAGAAGAAACTTGCCGCGGAAGAGCAGTTGATCAGGGCGCAGCCTGGGCTGACGACGACCGATGCAGAGCGGCGACTCAATAGGCCTGAGTTGGAAGCAGACATCAAGAGCGAGTTCAACGCGTTGGTTTCGGAAGCTTACTTCAAAGAATTGCCCGACCCTGACGAGGAGGAAGGGTTATCGGGTACCCTTAACAGGGTCTTTGCAGGCATGCATCTGCATTAACCAAGAAGCAGCGATGCGACAGCGGAAGAAAATGGAGAGGATGATGACTGAGTACTTGAGGGGGCAGAGGACTTTATGAGGGCTTCCTCATCATCCCAAATTCTGATTTCCCCGATCTGAATTCGGGGTTTAATTTTCTTTGCAGATGGTATGCGCGACACAAAAGATAGATCAAACACGAAAAACATTATCAACTCCCCTCCAACCCCGCGGGCAAAGGTACAGAAGGATGGTTGGGCCCACGTGCCTTTCTTCATATCCGCCGATTCGGAGCCAGCAAGAACAGAAAAGACGACATAAGTAATGCCGTACGGCGACGAGGATATCATCAATGAATCTCAATCAATTCGAGTACATGTGACACGTCGATGTCAGGCCCCAGCGTCTTGTGAACGCAAGCTGGTACAAAGCGTGGAGAGAGACACATGTTCTTATGGAACAAGAGGCGTTGATCTCAATGATGGCAAGAACGACGAGGGCAAGATCGACGAGACTCAGCCACTCAACAAGTCGTAGACTTCATCCTACGTGCCCAATTACCCCGAGTCCACCGCAGCATCCACAGCCCCGGGCCAACCTCAAGTCAGACAGAAAGTGAAGAAGGGAGCATGGATTCTTTTAGGCACTTGCAAGTAGCAGCATTGTGCCTGACTCATTCTCTTCTTACGCGTATGTGAGTCACCGTTGCCGATAGGCAAGCGGGTGAGGCGACTGCCTGGTTTGGGTTTTACACCTATGAGTTCATTTGAAAGCTCCGCATATCGCATAGATTGATGCGAAATATACCACATACTACGACTGACAGCATCGCAGTCAAGAATTCCAGCACCCGGGGAGCCAAGAGCATTATACATGGCGCCTCTCAGAACCACCGGCACAGCTATACCATCAAGAATCTGACTCGGGCCCCTTCAAGTCAAAGAAGTCGGAGACTAGGAGCTACCAAGGACAACGAGGACGATGAAGGCCCAGAACGCCGCCACCTCGGTCGTTAGCCTGGGGCTCATCATCGACTCCGGTTTCCCGTGGTCTTGCAAGAGTAATTTGCGGGCTGCCAGAAGTGTATCCTCTGCGGTTGTTTCGACCATGACCGTAGCCCAAGATTCCGTAACCGAATATCGCTGGTTGCGCAAAGCTGGGACTAGACGGACACGCGAGGGTAAAGAAGCATCTTACTCTCTCGCGACACCGCGGCCCATGATATATCCCAAATACAGCGGGAAATGCGGCCAAACAGCATGTCGCAAAGATACAGTGCAAATCTCATCTGAAAGAGATTAAACTCTTACCAACGGAAATGCCCCCGCCGATAGCCAGCCGACATAACCCATGATTGAGCTACTACAGCCGTGGTTCCACTGTCACCTCTGTGCCGTAACGGTATATGTGGGCGCGATCGTGTCGCACATTATGTGCATATGATTCGTGGGTTCATCGCCCGTCTGAGTCCTCTGTTTTTCCTCAAAAACAAGAGTCCCTTCTGGGTCCATGTCAGCAAAAACGACTGTAAGCGGCCTGCACAGGTAAACCGTACCATAGTACGTTCTGGGGGGTGTGCTGTAATGTACTTTGCGATTGCGTCTCTGTGATGGTGGTTCCACTTTTGCTGCTGACTACAGCTGGACTCTTTGAAGTTTCTGCGGCTCGAACTCAACTTTTGCGGCTCCGGGCCGGTGGAAAGAGGATCATAGGGATAATGGAAGTGATGAAGGTAATAAACGGATGACGAAGGACGACGAAAAGGACGACAAGAACGAAGACAAGGAAAGATCAGCGAGACCAGGATAGTTAAGAGCCAACACACCTAACTCAGCCAACCAATAGAGCATATTAATAAAGACACAGGCCTGGCAGTTAAATGACCATGAGCCAGACATTCTCAGCCAAGCCTTGTGTTTGTACAGAATTACTCTTCCAATGCCGCGTTGGGGACGTGAAGCTAAGAGACAACCCTTCCCCAACGAGAGGGACCCTGTGCCGTCGGAGATAGAAACGCAAGAGGACGATGGCGAGGTGATATCAAAGTGATTTGAGCGTGGACGCAATATTCGGCGTAGGCATGGAGCAGAATTAGGTTCGACGGTCCTCAACCTCGTCACTGCTCATGCTTGAGCGAACGCACCTCCTTGCCCAAAATGAAGCAGCACACTGTGAAAGTTCCATCTGAGGAAGCAGATCACCAACGACTAACAAAAAAAGGCGCAAGAGAAACCCAACTCGTCGTGGGGGGTATTTATTCATACAACTATCACACACGCACTACTCATCACCTCACAGTGATGTGCTGAATCGCAGCCTTCCACTTCTGCTCGTCCGTCCTGCACAGATCGTTAGCATTGCCCATCCACAGACTCAAAACGGAGACGTAAAACTTACTTGTCAAACTTCAAAATCCGCCCGAGAACAGGAACCAACTGCTCCCTCAGCTTATTATCCTTCTGCTCCAAGAACTGCAGCAGAATCGTCTTCAGATACAAGCTATCCGCCGTCGACGCCGACGCACCCCCAGGCGCAGGCGATCCGGTTCCGTTGAGGCCTCCAGACCGACTCGACTCGACCGAGCTTCGCCCCGACGTGACGCTCGCGCCCAGCTTCGCCTGCACCGTCTTGAGCTCCTTGTTCACCTTGTCGAACCGCTGCTTCGACTCCTCCAGCAGCCGCCTGAGATCCGACTTCTGCTTCTCGGCGTCGCGGACCTGCTGCTCCGACGCGTCGAGCGTGGACTGGATATCCGACACCGCCGCGCGCATCTCGTTGACCTCGGCCTCGGCCTTCTCCTCTACGGCCTCGAGCTCCTCGCGCCGCTTGCGCCACTCGCGCTCCTTGCGCTCCAGCTCCTCCTTCTCGCCGGACAGCATCTTGATGTCGCGCTCCAGGTCGCGGATCTTCTGCTTGAGTTCCTCCGTCTCGCGCGTCTTCCGTCTGGCGAGCGTGCTCGACTCGTCCTCGATACGGTCGCGCTCCTCGATCGCAGCCTCCATGCGCGCGCGCATCTCGCGCACCTTGCTGTCGGCGCGCTCGTCCACGTCGGCGAGCAGGCCGCGCATGCGCTCCGCCTCGCGGGTCCGCTCGGTAAGATGCTTCTGAATCTCAGCGAGTTCCTCCTCGAGCGACTCGGACTGCGATCGGGCCTCCTTGAGCTGGATTGTAAGCTCTGCCGTCTGGTCGCGCATGCTGCCGAGCAGGCCCTGCGCGTTGGTGTACTGCTGCGTCTTGAGGTCCGCCTCGTCTTGCAGGCTCTTCTTCTCCTTCTGCAACTTCTCCACCTCGTCTTCGAGCTCCTTGACCCGCGGGCGGAGCTTGTTGGCTTCTTCCTGCACCTTTTGCAGCTCCTGCGCCGCCTTCTCCTGCTTGGCGCTGAGCTCCACCTTCTCGGCTTCGGAGCGGCGGAGGTCGCGGCCCGATACCCTCTGCGCGTCCTCGAGGCGGAGGCGGTTGTTGGTCTCGTTGGTAAGCTTCTCGCGGAGAGACTTGATCTCCGTCTCACGGTCTGCGGCAAGGCGCTGCGTGCGGGCGACGTCGGCCTTGAGGTCCTTCTCCTTCTTCTCGAGGTTGCGGAGCTCAGTGTTCTTGGCCGAGAGCTCATCCTTAGCGGTCTTGAGAGCCGCAGAGTCTTGACGCAGGCTCTTCATCTCAGGCTGAGCCTTCTGGAGGACTTCACGCAGCTCGGTGAGGTCCTTGAAGCGGCTTTGAGCCAGCTGCTGGGCGGCGCCCAGGTCGGATTGCAGAGTTGAGGACTTGGTCTTGAGGTCGTCGTACTCGCGCTGGAGGTTGTCGAACTCGCTCTGCAACTTCTCGGTGGCCTTGGCATCGTTTGCAGACGATCCCAGCTCCTTCTCCAGCTCCTCGATCCTGGTCTGCAGCTCCTTCTTCTCGATCTCGAGGTTCTTGATCTTCTCCTTAGCCACCACGTGTTCCTGGCCAATATCTGTCAGCTCGTCTCGCAGGGTGTCAATCTCCTCGCGAAGATCCTCCTCCGTCTTGCGCTGCTTCGTCAACCGCTCAATCTGGGAGTCCTTTGTGGAGACCTCCTCCTTCAAGCGGGTAATCTCAGCCTCCAAAGCCTCTGTGTCAGACTCCTTTGACTCTTCCGCAGGCGAAGGCTGTTCGGCGGTGCCTGCCGCAGGTGCTGGAGCAGCAGCAGCGCCGCCCTTCTTCTTCTTTTTGTTCTTCTTGTTGTTCTTCGAAGCACCACCCGCGCCCGCGGCAGGGGTCTCAGTTGGCGCAGGGGTTGTTGGTGTAGCAGGCACAGGCTCACTGTGCTTCTCCAGCTTCTTGGTAAGCTCGTCGATCTTCTTCTCGTTTTCGGCCTTCTCCTTCTTGACGGTTTCAATCTGGGTATTCAGAGTTGCAATCTTCTTCTCCACTTCGGCCTTGGAAGCCAGGACCTCCTTGACTCGCGCCTCGCCCTTGTCAGCCCGCGTGTTTGCCTCGGACAACTTCGATTGAGCGGCCTTGGCATCCTTGGTGGCAGTCTCGAGCTCACCCTTGAGCTTGCTCTCGACATCCTTAAGCTGCTTCTGCGAGGTCTCCAGGCGTTCGGTTAGCGTCTTGATCTCAGTGTTTCGGGCGTCGAGTTGAGTCTGAAGGGAGTTTTTGACAGCAGCCTCATCGCGCAGCTCGCTGGCCTCCTTGGTGATCTTCTCAAGGCTCTCGGTAAGATCGTCGCTGGACTTCTTGGCAGACGCGAGCTCAGTCTTCAGAGACGTGACTTCGGTCTTGAGCTTCTCGATTTCCTCCTCCTTGGCAGCCACGTCGGCCTCGTACTTGGGAGCTTCCTCGTCGTATGAGAAAAAGTCGCCAGCGTCGTCGGGCTTGTCCTTGTCCGCCTCTGGTTCCTGCGGCTTCTGCTTCGGCGAGAAGATGCCCAACGCCTGCTGCAGGGGCGACTTGGCGGCGTTCGGGTCGGGGGATTTAACAGAGCCATCGTCCTTGGTGTCCGTCGCAGCGTCGACCTGTTCCTTGGTTTCGGCCTTGTCCGCCGCGGGCTCAGGCTTAGCAGCCTTGAGCTCCTCGACCTCCTTTTTCAGCGTCTCGACCTCCTTCTCGGCTGCCTCGAACTTCTTCTTGAACTCGTCCTTCTCGACTGAAACGCGCTTGTACTCGTCCATGATCATCTGCTCCTTCTGCTTCAAGGAGTCGAGATACTCGACGAGCGCATCAGGTTCTCTGATCGAGCCGACACTGGTATGCTCCTTAAGCACCCGCTCGAACGGCTCGATGGAAGTTGCGCGGCCGTGGGCGATTCGGTACGACCGGAGGAGTTCTGGGGAGCGTCAGCGCTGACCTTGCAGCATGGAACATCGTACCCACCAGGATATGTCTTCTCGAGCTTCTCGAGCTTGCGCAGCTTAGTCCGCACCTCGGGAGACAGCTCCGGCGCAGCAGCGGGCGCCGCAGTGGCCGAGCCAGCCTCACCCTCCTTCTTCTCGTCTCCATTCTGTCCTGCCTCCTCGACCTTCTCCTTCTTCTCGTCGGTCTTGTCCTCCATTGTCGGAGGTTTCGGTGTTCCTGCTCTACTGGGCTCTTCGCTATCGTCCAGCGCGAATGCCGCCTCAAAGACGGCCGGGTCGGGGTTGGACGGGCTTTCGCCGTCCTTGGTGTTGTCCTGGCTGACGTTCTTCTTGGGTCGGGGCCGTCGCGCGGGAGACTGGTTGCCTCGCGACGTCGAGTCCGACCTGCGCGGCGTCCCAGAGTCCGGGCCGAGTGCCTTGCGTGCCTGTTCCTGGCGGGCCTGTTCCTCCGCGATTGTCCGATCGATGGCGCCCTTGATCCTCTGCAGTCCCATCATGTTAGCTGCCAGCAGTCGCGAGGGCACAATTAAGGAACAACAGCTGGGACGTGGTTTGGACAAGTAGATCGAAATCAAAAAAAAGTTTCCGCTGGAGACGCACCTGGAACATGTTTGCCGATCAAAGGGATGGATGGGATTACCCTGTGACCATGGATTCGTTTATTCTGACGGGAGGGTCGTTCGAAAGAGAGAGCTATGGTCTGTCGACGATGGAAGGGAACTGCATTATCGGTGGTGGTGGCAAATAGAGGGATCTCGAAGCGCAAAAGCCAAGGGCCAGCATGAAGGAATCGCTTGGTGATAATGTTCTGGGCCAAGTTGTCGGCGTGCCGTGGCTTGCGAAGGGTATTCAAGGGACAGCAGAGGTCCCTACATACATTTCATTTCACAGGTGTCCTCAGCCAGCTGCGCTGTTCCAGGTGCTCCCCCAAAGTTTGAGGCAGGGTCAGCACGGACGGTGGGGACCTCTCACAAGAGGCCGCGTTAGCGTTCAGCCTCGGCACTAGCCACATTTCGTGCAGCAATTCTCCAGCTGCCAGCAGATGCGTCTGCACAGCGACCAAAATAGAAATCAAGATGCGACCACAGCAGCAACAATGGAGGTGACCACCTCAGCTGGCGAAACGGATGTTGAAGTATGTGTCTTCGTGATTCTGCAATTATGTATGAAATGTTGCTGTAGCTAGCTGACGGCGCATTCGCCATAAAATATCCCGCATCCACTTACTTTCCACCCTTGCCCTTGCGCTTCTTGGACCCCGATGCTCCCTGTCTACCCGTGGTCTTTGCGCCAGCTCCATGAACATCGTCATCAGCGTCTTCCTCCTTAATCTCCACGCTCGACACTTCGTCATCAGATGATTTGAACTCCTCGCCGACCGACACGTCACTTGACGGGGCCCGCGAGCCGAGGACCTCCCTCATAATCCGCTTGCCCTCGTCCATTTCGCCGTTCTTCGCACCGCAGCCCATGCATCTCCAGGTTCCAAGCTCGGAGAGCGATTTCGTGCCGGGGGGCGCCTGGCCGTTGACCAAGCGGCAATGCGCGCAGATGAGTACGATCCTGTTCTTGGACGCCGTCTCGTCCTCTCCGAGGAGAAGATCCATGATGCGATCGTACCAGTGGGACGAATTGACGCCATCAACCTGGACGAACTGTTGCGACTGAGGCGGCGGGGGCGGGACGTGGCCGCCGCTGTAGGCATTGGGGGCGAATTCTTCGCTAGGCTCGAGTCCATTGGGTTGCGGAGATGGGGAGAGGCGCTGCTGCTGGAAACCCTGAGGCATACCCGGAGGAGGCGAGCCAGCGCTGGGACGCTGGATGTTGGCAGTCGGCGGAGGAGGCATGTTGGTACGACCTCCTTCATGCTGCCTAGGAGCTTGCTGGCGCTGCTTCTTCTCCTCGGTGTCTGCGCCCTGCTTCTGCTTTTGCTTCTTGTTCTCGCCGCCGCCATATTTCTCGAGGAGTTCGAGGGTGGTGTCGTACTTCGTGGCGTCCTTGAGCTTCTGGATCGTCTTGGCTCGGTCGGCTTGCTGTTCCTTGAGGCGGTTGGACAGGGTGTCGATTCGGTAGTTGAAGAAGGCCGTGACGGTGGTTCGGGTGAGGTAGATTCTGTTCACTCGTAGTCAGCTTTCCGCGATGCGCAAACGGAGTCCGCGGGGGGGACATACACGACCGGACCTCCACAAACACCAACCCACTCCCACATGCCCATGCCGTTCCATCCCACCACGAGGAAGATGACGATCGAGTAGACGAGATATGCGAAAGCAAGGTACAGAGACCAGAGGACTCTGATGCGGCGAGAGGTGTTGCGCGCGCCGTCAAGTCGGCCCTGGGTGTCGGTGATCTTCGCCGAGAGGGCGGAAAGGGTCTTTTCGAAGGAGGCGGGGGAGGAGTCTTCGCCCTGGAGTCGAGGTCAGTCAGTATCTGTCGCAAAAGCCCTAGGTCGCGATGCAAGGCAGTGTGCATGGTTCGGGGGAGGCGTGGACTTACCCTCCAAGGCCAAAAGGACACCATGGTGAAGAAGAAGAGATGCGACCACGTGCCGATGTCAAAGAGGCATTTCCCCAGCTGTCACGCCAGCAACAACCAGAAATTGAAACGAAAAGAAACAAATAAGAAGGAGGGAAATGTCAAGGAGATTGATGCGATGCAATGCGCAGGTGTAGAGATCAGACGAGCAGAGCCGTGGGAGGAGGCCCGTGGCAGCAGCAGCGATGTTGTAAAAGGAGCGGGAGGCTGAAGGGAAGCCGGGGGTTGGTAGAGATGGTGGTGGTGCTGCTGGCGGCGGTGGTGGTGACGGCAGGCGCAGGTCACGGCCTGAACGGGACAGGTGGAGGGAGCTTCGTAGCCTTCGCTTGTGGTTCTGGAACGAAAAATGCCTGGCGAACAAGGCGCACCTGCCAGCTGTTATGACGCACCTGCCGACCTAGGCGCAGCAGCTGAACCTGCTCTATTCGGTGGGAGAAGGTGGGTCCAAGCTTCTGAAAGGCGCTAACCAAGAGCTGTGTTAGCGCATCGGTGAGGTGTTGGCTCGATCTGCCAGCTGCGGGGTGCCACTTTGGCGACCTCACCGACTTCACCTTGAAAAAGGAGACTAGCTCACCGAGCAGATGACTTTGGAAGGGCAGATGTCATGAACTGAGCAGCTTGAGCAGCGAAAATGGGTGGTCGTTTCATTCTGAACAGGGCAATTGCCTAGAACATACGCTCACATCACATCCTGAACGCCTCATGGCTTTTCACCCCCATCTAGCACCCATTCCTTGGTCTCTGAATGGGATTCCACCAAGGGCTGGGCCTCATAAGATTCCTTAACGGGCTCGAAAATGTGTGGTAATTCCTGCTCAATCTTAGCTCCAAGTTCGCATTTCATCAGCAAACCGCTTATCTTGAGGCTCAATCTTGTCATAGACAGCCTTGAGCGCTTCAGCCTTATCTTTCAGCTGCTTCAGGCCGGGACGAGGTTTGTTGCAGTCGCCCCGGATTTCTCTGTTTTGTTTGAAAGACCGCTCAATTTGACTGTGCCTGCGTGAGTCTATTTCTTTTGTAGTTAGAAAGATGGCAATAGAAGTAATAACAATACTAACAACAATAGCGGTGACGATGATGGTAAGGTGGAGTATGCGACCAGAGGAAGATTTGTCGCTCCAGCAGAGGAACATGCAGTCTCTTGTGCAATCACTGATTGAGTGTCGGTCTCTTCCTGCAGTTTGGGGGACTTGCGGGCGTTTTCGGAGGTCATTGTGAGTCGTCGGTTCTGGTGCTTAATTGAAAAGGGTCCGGTGATGGTAAAGCAGAAACTTATGAATTGCTGTGGAAAAACGATAATGAGCCGCGCACTTCTTGGGTGTTTCCTCTTTTATGATATGGCATTGTGGCAACCCATCAGCTTACTTCAATGGCTGCTGTCAATGACATTGTTCATCAACAAAGGCTTTGGGTCAACTTTCGCATTGTTCGCTGATGCCTCGTCTTTTTTGATGCCAGGTCTTTGTTTCTAAATTGTCAATATTTCTTTCCAGAGCACCAAGATGAGATGCATGGAACTCGCTGTATCTTATTCAGGTGGTGATGACCTTTACCTGTGTTGTTTGGATAATGGCTTGTTCCCTGGGACAATATGCTCTCCGAGTACAGCGGCATTGAAGAGCTTGGAGGTTGCAAGACAACTCCAAGCTTCCGGGAACTTTCAATATATAGGTACCAACTCAAACTCTCCCCAAATGCTCATATGAATTCTGCATAAAGTCTTTCACAACAGTAGACAGATAACCTGACGAATCACACTACAATAATGGATTGGAATGCCCACCTCGAGTTCCTCAGAGAACTCATCATCTCCGCAGCCATCCTCACTTTCGGACATTACACCAACATTATCCCCTTAACGTCCTTCCTCGGCGTCTCAAGCCCAAATTACATCCTCCCCCCACTATCCGTTCTGATTGGTCATCTCCTCTGGCACATCTTCGCCCCGGACGCTCGTCCGGAGGATCCCACTGAGTACCTCATCCTTGCGCGGGCGTACTTCTTCAACTTTGCGATACTAATGTGGGCCCTCTTTCTTTTCCCATTTCTCTTAGTCGCTTTAGTCTCTGCCATAGGTCTTGTGTTACCATTCGTCGTTTTATGGACAGTCTACCGATGTTTCAGACCTGAACCTGCGCCAGAGGTCGACGAGTTTGGATGGAGGCACGATGTCAACACGACTAGACTGAGGGAGCCCTACGCTTTGGACGAGTTCCCTGAAGATAACGTGTTTTTGAGGCATGGATTTTCCAATCAGTAACGGACATCATTTCTTTATAGACTTGATCAATTGTATGCCAACTTCCTTTAAAGTCGCGCTTTGATTTCAGGGTGACTGTGCCTGCCGCACCTCAAGACAAGTACCACCGCTCCCGGCCCCGGCTTCAAGGGCGGGCTTCTCACCTCAAGTGAATTGAAAGTCGGCTTCAGGTGGCTCAAGATCCAGGACGCGTCAGGTTCGCGTTATATAGCCACCAGGCGCCTACCCACCACCAAATTCACCATCACCAAAGCCGCCTCCTGCCCGACATCCCAGGCATAAACCTCACCTTGGACGACCTTCAATTCACCACGCAACGGCTTCAGACCGCCATCCTCCTTCTTTCCTCCTATTTAACACACCCCAATCCCATCTCAGAATTTTCCCTTTTCTCCCTACAACGAAAACAACCTCACAGACTCAAGTCTTCAGTCTTGTTCCATCACCAACAATCGACTTTCCTTCGGGCTGGACCCGTCTCATTCGCATCCCACCTCTTCTCATCGGGACCATCCCCAAAACAAACTTCATTCTCAGTGTCTCCTTTTCGCCTGACTCCCACTTCATTCGTCACAATGGTGTCCTTGCGCGACATTCTCCCGTTCAGCACCAAGGTCTGCGTGATGAAGCGCGTCCGCTCAGACGGCAGCGTCGAGCTGTACTGCGAGGGGCCTACCAAGGCAAACGCCAGCCGGTATGCACATGTCCCCAAGACTTACCTCGATGTCCATCACCACTGACCAAATCAGGGACGAGTGCATTGAATGCCTTCCAGTCGAGGATTGTCAAGAGATCTACGGCCTGGACCCGACTCCTGTCTTTGCTACCTCCAAGCGCGAGTACTACACCGTGGATGGACAACTCTACTCGCGCCCCGCTCAGGAGCCTGCGCGTTCCTCGCAGTCGTCCGATAGCTCAAGCAGTTATCGGGATCGCAATCACGAATCGAGACGATCTCACCAATCCCGGTCCACAGCACCCGTCTTGCGACCAGGAAACCCCGTCACCGATAACTCGACACGCATTTCGAACGCAGGAAACAACCGGCACACAGAGCGCCACGCAAACCGCTTGTCCAACAATGGATTTATCTTGAACGGCAATGGAAACACTATCAACTTTCACAACAACCGCACCCACCTCAATTACTCGGGTAACGCCACTTCCTCCTACCATGAGAATCGCCAGTACAACACCTCCTACGAGAGCCATGATCATCGCCTCAACCCAGATGTCGAACAGCGCACAAGAGACTACTCTCCTCCCCGCGAGCGCATTCGCGAGCGCTCCGATTTCTCCGCCGCCGAGCAAGCCGCCTGGGAGGAACGCCAGTGGCGAAAGCTTCAAGAGGAAGAGTACGCGCGCGACAGATCGCCTTCGCCTTGCTATGACTACAAAGACGACCGCGACGACCGTGGAAGGCGGGAAGAGCGCTATCTCTCCAGACGCCGCGAGGACAGCCGCGGAAGAGTGTCAACGGTCTACTACGACTGCGAGGACGACCGCGACGAGCACGACGATCGCTCCCGCTCCAGGCGTCGCGAATACAGCCGCGCAACATCTCCTTCCCCTTACTCCGAGTACGAAGACAACCGCAACGATCGCAACGACAGCGAAGAGCGCCCCCCTTCCCGCCACCGTCAGCGCAGCGATTCTATCGAGGTCCTCGACTCCCGGTTCATTTACGCTGGCAGCGGCGAGTTCCAGGGTGGTGATTGGATCTGCGCTACCCAGAGGGAGTACAGCGCCGATGGTGGCTTCGTTTACGTTGGCGAGGGTCGCTACGACAGCGATGGCAGGCAGCACAGCCTCTGAAGAGCTAAGATGCGAGAGGATTCGGGTGTGCTTTTGGTTTCGACATGGTAATGAGCGCGCGGCGTGACAGCAAGGCGTTGGTGAGAAAAGCATGGTAATCAGACGCATGGAGCGTGAATTGGTATGACATGACATGGTATTGGTTTGGAGTTTTCGGTTTCTTTTGTACTAGGGTTCTGGAAGGGCATTGTTCTGGCACCTCGTCAAGTCTGAACGATCTGAGCTGGTCTCGGTCAAAGAAACACAGACAAGACGATGAACACGGTAGCTAGATACTAATACGGTAGCGATGACTCCAACAACGGGCCTCAACTTGACCTGGTTATTACTTCGTTGTACTTATCAGTTATGGCATCGTTCCGGGACAGTGAAACGGTATGATCAGATGAAGCGACAATTCTTGACCGGTGAATGGCGATAAAGGCGATCTCATAAGTTGGGGGGCAGATAAGCAGCATGCAGGCAAGTGGGCGTGGCTAACCCCAGCTCATCTTAGGTAATGGCACGACGTTGCAATCATACATCATCACATCCGCATTTGTTCATTGCAGCTGCGGGGGAATGAATCCTGAAAGGTAAACACCTCAGTCTCGAAGTTGACCTATTGCTGAAGTTGCTTCGTCTCGCTCCAGTGCTCGACGCCACCGAGAGCACCTCGCTATCTCATACACTGATTAGTTTGCACTTCGCTTCGACGACTACTTCCACTCTCTTGAGATCATCCCTCTGCTGGTACACTGCCACTCTTCCTACGACTATCCACAAACATGGCTCAGACAGCTCCGTCCTCGCACGAGGTCCCCAAGCTACCGCGTGGCCTAAAGAGCCCCGTTCACCCCGAAAAAGGGTGGAATCGTCTGGGGAAAGGAACCTGGTTTAACGGGCGACCAGAGACGGATGTCTACAAACTGCTGATCGACGCTTACCGGCTTCGTATGGACGACAGGTGGGACATCGCCAAGGCCAAGGAGCCCGGCTCCCTCTACGTCCCCGGGGCCACCGACGGCAAGTAAGGATTCCGCACCTTCCTGGACAAAGCAGAAAATACCAAGTCCGAGGAAGGCAAACCCATATTGCCGACGTGGTGGAACGCGGAGAAGCGCAAGGAGTGCGAGGCTCTTGGCGCCGACACGACGCAGTGGACCAGCTTGGCGAAGAAGGTCAAGAAATGGGACATTCACATCCACTACGACGACATGGCTTTGGCTATGCAATTGCGGTGCGTGGCTGAGATGGTCTACAACCTTCTGCCAGACGGGAGACGGATTGCCAAGATTCCGGACGATTTGTTTGAGGGGGATTCGGACAATGAGTTTGATGAGTTTGATTCTGACAGTGACGAGTGGTACACTGATTCCGATTGAGACGAAGGGCTCTCCGATAACGGGATGACGGTCGAGAACCGCTCTTGTTATTCTTACCCATTTATGATAGAAATGATACTCTTGTTTCTCAAAACATGGAGCCAGCGGCAGCGCGTTGCTTTGACAGGCTCGGAACTTCCCCGATGCCAAGCATGACGGAACTCCTACGGCCCACAAAGCCAAGCATCGCCGGAGCCACAAGCAGGATATGAATGCATGCTTCTTCATATATTGGTTGGCTCATAAGAAATCGATCATGAACAAGGCATGCTGCAGACGTTGGTGTGTACATGTACGTTCAAGTCTCGGATTTCGCCGTGCAGCCAAGAAACCCGGTCGTGGTTTAGACGGAAGGCAGATGAGAATGCTCTTCCCGCCTCGATCCACACCGTGTAACCTATTTGAAGTGATATGAGATCACAAGAACCAGATGGAATGTGCCTCCTTCCACTTCTCAATGATTTGCAAAAGTGGTGGCAAGAATCCTCGTATTTAGTACGAACTGATGAGTAAGTACGACGTTTGCGTCATCGGTTGGCTCCAGTATCCCATACCATACCGGCTGGGTGCAATTCGCTTCCGGACCTGTTTCTCAGCTTCCACTTACAACCATCGCCGATGGAGGTTGCGTCTTGGCCCGACATAGGTCCCGCTTGAAGGGCTCAAGATCGGTTATTTGTCCCGGAACGGCAAGCTTCGACCGCCGAACGTCGGAGTAGTCCAGCGGGTTGCTCCGTGCCAGCCAGATGGATGTTGTAAGTCGCGCCATAAAACCAAAAGAAACGACAGCTGAAGTAACGATTACCTAGAACCATGTTAGCAGTCTTTTGTTTGTATATGAATAATCCGCCTGGCTTCTTGAGGCCTTCGTCAAGCTCTTCATCAACATGCATGTAATGAAAATCAATGCAGCGGCCTTCGTGCTCTTGGGAGCGTCGACTTTGACACAGGCTGCAGGCAACCAGACAGACTTCGTCCAACCAATCCAGGACGAAGCTCTTGGTGCCCTTAAGAAAGCAGAACCTAATGCAGTACTGAATAGGAATAGTACTTGTAAAATGGAGACCGCAGGAGTGCGGAAAAACTGGTAAGTCGTGCTACCCGAAATATTGAACCGTGACGGCTTTCCTGACGTCAAATTCTATAACAGGGATGATTTGGATGCAGAGCAAAGGAAAGAGTACATCAGCGCCGTCAAATGCCTGCTCTCCTCTCCGTCTCAAACAGACCCAGCTCTGAACACCGGGGCCCGCGTGCGCTACGACGACTTCGCTGCGCAGCATATAAATCAGACCATGAGCGTTCACGTAACTGGGAACTTTCTCACTTGGCATAGACATTATGTCTGGTCTTACGAGCAAGCTCTCCGTAACGAGTGCGGTTACTCTGGCTACCTTCCAGCAAGTTATCTCCCGTAATAAGCATTGCGCTTTCGGCCTGGTCTAACAACGCGCAGTACTGGAATTGGTTCTCACGCCAAGACGATTTGAGAAAGTCTCCAGTTTTTGATGGCTCAGAAACCAGCATGGGCTCTGACGGACTCTTCGTGCCGCATAACGGGTCCATCGGTTCCGCCGGTCTCCATATCCCTTCCGGTCTGGGAGGCGGCTGCATCGCCACTGGACCTTTCGCCAAGTACGTTGCTGGTAACACACTTCATGTATCTTTGGTAAAAGATTAACACCTCTCAGTTTGTCTGCCAACCTTGGCCCGGTCCAGCCTCAACAAGATGGCATTATCGGCGTCGGCACCGCCGACAAGCTCCGGTACAATCCGCACTGCGTCAAGCGAGATTTGAGCAGCTGGCTCGCGACGCGCATCTACACCAAAGACGCCTTCCTCAACGCTACTGTCCGCGACACAGCGAGGGACATCGCCAGCTTCCAATCCGAGATTGACAGCCAGAGCGCGGAACTCCCGGGCGTCCATGCCGGCGGCCACCAGACCATCTCCGGTTCCAACTCGGACCTCTACTCGGGGGTTGTCGATCCTGCCTTCTACCTGCATCATACAATGGTTGACCGTATGTACTGGCTCTGGCAAGCGCTGCACTACTCTCAGGCCAAGACGATCTCCGGCACTGTTACGTTCGGGAACAGCCCGCCCAGTCGGAACGCTACGCTGGAGGATATTATTGAGCTCCCCTTTTTGGGCGTGGAGGCTGCGACTCTTGGAAGTCTGTTGGATACACTAGATGGGCCCTACTGTTACATCTACGCATAGACTTCCAGGCTATGTGGTAGATATTCGTTGCGAGTTTCATCATAGAAAGCAGTGAATGGCGGGATGGACAAAAAGATGAGACAAGGATGCGAACGATAACAGTCGTAATCGAGAAGACGAAAATGGAGAATACAGTAAACCGGATGACTAAACAGAACAAAATGCTCAATAGCACGCTGAGTCTCGGCCCGCTTACTTATACGCATCCCTCCTAACGGAGAAGCTCCTAAAGTAACTTACCCATGCATGCCGATCCTTGTCGTTGGTATCGGTAACATCCGTATAATTGGTATTGAAGATCGTTCCAGTGTTATGGTTTTGACCTATCTATGCATTGGCAAGGGCTGACCGAACCTTTGGTAACGTCCCAGGCTGGGTACTTGCAGTTGAGGATGGCACCGGCGGTCGATTTGTGCACCACCGGCGTTAACCCGATTGGCGAGACGACAAGAAGGTGTGTGATGGATAAATCTGCAGGCTAACCAGCAACGAGATCTCTTTCCCCCTGAATAAAATCAATCTAAAATCGCTTGATCCATGGCGACGGGAATTGCTCGTAACTTTATTTCGCACATGAGGGCTCTGGCATCATATTATAGCCGGTGGGATAGAGAACTATTACCGCAAGAAGTGGCAGTTACGAATAGTAATCAGGCCTGACAGCGGGCACACCGGAAATGAGTCGTCTGGGCCACTGTAACATAACAAACTTTCTAAGCCTGCTCAGATTTTAACGAATTACTACATCCTTGCAAAATAGGCAACTCGCGAAATTACAGCGGCCTCTGGGTCAATTCCGAGAGCCGTGGCTGTAAACGATGAACCTTGGTCCCTAATTCCAGACCGTGAACTACACTACAAATGTGAGCGAATATCACCACCATGTCCAACGTCGCCGACTTTTCGATCAGTCAAGTTTTCTGATTTCCACACTCCTTTGGCTCAACGCCATTCAGTCATTCATTTGAAGACAAACTCATTCAGTCACTCGTTAGACACTTGTTTATTGTTTTATTTTCGCAGAATATCACCAGTCATGTACACCCTGAACGCTCTCGCAGTTTTGCTGTATGTCTCGCCCGCCGCCCAGGCCCACGTTCCTAAGATTCGCGGCTATGCCTTGACTTGGGCCGACGACTTCAATGGTCGGCGCAACACCCTGCCAGACCCGGACAATTGGATTATCGACACCGGAACTTCTTATAACGGAGGACCTGCTCAGTGGGGTACCGGAGAAATTCAGACGTACACCAACGATGTCAAGAACGTGCGCATGAATGGGAAGGGTAATCTCCAGATCACCGCTATCCGGAACGCCACCGGGACCTGGACTTCGTCGCGAATTGAGACCCGGCGTACCGATTTTATGGCTCAGCCTGGAGGGAAAATGATCATCCAGGGAAGCCTCAAGATCCCAGACCTCAACGGCCATGGAGTTGGTTACTGGCCAGCTTTCTGGACTCTAGGGGCTGAATATCGTGGCAACTACTGGTACGTGTTTCTCCTCCATCGGAGAGAATTGTGTTGACTCGATCTCTAGGAACTGGCCCTCAATTGGAGAGTTCGACATTATGGAGAATGTGAACCTCATGGATCGTCACTGGGGTGTCTACCACTGCGGTACAAACCCTGGCGGACCATGCGACGAGTCCAACGGCATTGGAAACAGCAGCACTTGTCCTAATAGCGCGTGCCCCGGAAACTTCCACACGTATTCTATCGAGGTCGACAGACAGAACACTCCTGAGACTCTGACATGGTTTGTCGATGGGGTTCAGTTTCACCAAGTGAACGAAACAGCCATCCCGGATGCCGTGTGGGAAAAGACGGTTCACAACCCCCACTTCATTCTCATGAACATGGCTATTGGTGGAGGATTTCCCAACGGTGTTTACGGCTCCGAGACCCCAACCAACGTTACAGTGTCAGGTGGAACGTATGAGGCTGAATATGTAGCTGTGTACAACTCATTCAATCACACTCGCCATGACTCTTAGCTACCCTGAACTTGCCCTGGCGCAGGCTAAGAGCAGGGAGAACAAATGAGGCAAAAGGGACATTTGAGGACCAACTCCGGAGTCAAGCGCGTTATCAGGGTTTCTTTCTGATTGGCATGCCTTCACATACCTAGGTTACATATATACATAATCGAAACCCTGTTGATGTTGAGCCAACGATGAAGACTCTAGCTCGTTCTATGTGTCAAATAACGAGATCTAAAAAGCCGATCCACAATGCCCCGTAAGTCTGCAGGCTAGATAGCGCTATCTCGCCAAAACCAGTGCCAACGCCAAGACCGACCAACAACAACACTGACACAAAGCTTCAACAGCTACGCTTGCTGACAGATATCCATCGGTATCCGAGCTTTCAGGTCGACTTTTGTCAGTTAGATGCTTAGCTAATCGAAAGCTCAGCTCCAGGAATTCAACAAATAATGTTAACGACCTTACTCGATATCGAGCCGCACCGCCTGTACCAGAACCCCCGTCGAAATGTCATCTACAATAGGCAAGCGTTCGTCTCAGCGGTGAGGCTCTCCGGTCCCAGAAACCCACGGCCCACATGTATCATAGGCGAGCAGCCTAGATAGGGTGCCAAGCAGAGCAAATTTTCACTAACAACACCAACGCCAAGAGAAGAACTTCAAAAACGTAAGGTAACCGCTACAAGCGGCACGTAGCAGATGCAGAAGCCCCCGAGGAGGAGTATCCACTGCTCTCCTTCAAGGCTGACGCTTACTGTGCCGCTGGACATATGGAGACCATAAATCGCACCCATGAATTTGCGACCACAGTCTTCCCTCCCAACTACTCGCTCTCACTGCCTACTTCTCTTCCCATCCTTTCGTAATCCAAGAATCGGTATCTCCAAATTGCTTCAGAAAACATCAGTCTCTTGCAATTCTATTAGATTCGACAAGCAGCCTCAAAATGAACTCAACCACTACCTGCCCGGATGCTTCCGGCATACCGGACTTTGTCAACATATACGGCATTCCAAGCAACATCAGCACCGGCTTCGTACCCATCGGTCGGAATGGGTCATACGTGGCCATGACGGCGTGCTGTTCACCCAGTGCTGTTAACATCGCAAGCGACTGTTATTATTGGTGCGAGATACCGACCGAGGAGGCTCTCGACAGCTTTGGGTCGTGTTTGACTCGCAATGGTTTAGAAAGAGGGATCGTTGGGTTGCATGAGAGTGGTGCTGCTAGTTCGAAGACTAGACTTAATGCTGGAGGACTGGCGGTATGGGCACTGCTTGTCATCAGCGCGATTTGTCTGGGATGATGGGCGAACTGGGAGCTGTTTATCGGACTACGTCTAGGCTTTCATTTGAAGGGAACTAAGTAAATCCAGTTTTGTCTCACAGCAACTATGGTGAACAGGATGACGCTGAAGTTCGTTTAACTTAGTGGCCCTGGACTTCACTGGGCAGACCATGGCGGCAGACGACCTGCAATACTTCAATCCACAGCCGATAGCATTTAATAATCTTTCGCTGTTTCACTAAGGCATTTGGCGCCTCTCTTTGAGCCAAGAACTTCATTTCGCCTATGTTTTCCTGAGGAGCATTGCGCTCTATTATTCTCGCTCAGTTCGTCTCGTGCGAAGTTTTCTCGTTATTTACATTCTTAGCCAGCACGATCTGACTTCCCTCAAGACGGACCGCTAGCTTGCGCGCAGTCCTCTCAAGCTCCTTTACAGGCCCAAGCCCGCCACCTGCAGCAGCCCGACATTCCTCGCCCAGAGCCACAAGGGTCGCTAAAGAAGAGCCTTTAACGTCGCAGAATCTCATTCCCCGGTGGTCGATTTGGTTGAACATCGTAAGAGAGAGAAATAGTGCCGCAAGTACAATTTCGGCGGCTAGTAGTGAGAGCGGGGCCCATGTTATCTCGACGTGAGGGACCATTCCCGTAGCCTCGCCAGTGACGTTGAACACAGCGTGCGTCAGGTTCAGAGCTCCGATTTGACTGCCGCGAAATCTGATGGTTACGCTGAATGTCAGCTGAGTTTCCGGAACGCATATTCTTCGAACTATTGACATGCAATAATGGGAGATGAAAGAAACTTAACGAGGACTGGCACTTACGTTGCAGACAAACTGGTTGCAAGGTTCTGGTAGATGTTCTGCATACGGACTTCACGAATATTGACGTCTCGCATGCTGGGATGATGAAAGAAAACCCATTCGAACAGGCTTGTTATAAAGTCGCTTCCTGTGGTCACGTACGGGAAGTCCTGCTGCTCGTTCAAAGCCATGACGATTGTTGAATAGCCTGCGATATAGGACCTCAGTCCTTGGGCGATGTCTTCCATGCCGCGGTAATTGGCAGTAAAAGTGCTCTCCTTTGTCGAGTTCAATTCCAGATGAGGTGGAAGGCTTCTTTTTGGAGCTCTGAGATGAATAGTATCGTTCCCGCGTTGTTTGTTTTCCCTGCATTGGTACGAAGATTTGTTTAACAGATCCCCGCAGTCCAAGTCGAGAAAAGGACTGGCGCCTTCTTCAAGCGGCTCGGTATGAGAACCAACTATTTGAGTGATTTCCTTGCCTAAATAGACCTTCGTTTCGTATGTGTGAACACAGAGATGGAAAAGAATCTCTCTAGCTTCATGGCGAAAGTCATCAATTTGGTCCACAATTCCCTTAGCTGTGGTGTTGTAGGAGATTTCCCACGAGGACTTGTCGTAGGCTGTTGGCGCCGTGTAAACCAGAACAAAAGATGCAATCCTTGCCTTTTGTAAGATGGGATCATCCCTGAATCCAAAAGTGCGGTTTCCGGTCAAAAGGTCGGTGAACATTGTTGCTTTGCTCTGGTGAGCCATATGATAGCCGCCAGGTAGGGAGGCCTTCCAAACTTTCCTGTTGGGAATCACCTCTTCCACTCCACCTATGAATGGTGTGTCTGCCAGGTCCGGGCTCTCTGGGTTTTCAAACTCATCGACATTCAGAGAAGATGTAATATTTGCCATTTTCATGCAAACTCCAATTGAATG